AAATCATTACACAACATATTGTATACAAACTCCCACTTAAATAAGGTCAATCCTGTGCGCTTCCCAGAAAATAAATGCACTTTCTGTAATCAACACCCAGAAACACTTGACCACCTTTTCATGTCATGTAAATTTGTAGAGAGCCTCTGGCAAGATGTGATAAAGAATCTAGGGGAACCGCTTCAATTGGATAAAGTACCAGGTAAGCTGTGCAGTTTTGGGAGATCCGGAATACAGTTGGCAAATTAACTTTATTAGTTTGATGGTGAGAAAACATATTTATTTCTCAAAATATAAAAGTACCAAGCCAACTTACCAAAACCTAATGCATTTATTGCGGAAACATTTCCAAATTGAAGGTCAAATTGCTAAACAAAAGGAAAATGCACACTATGAAAAGTGGTCTCCCCTGATTCCCTACATCATAGAATAAATAATGAAATGTATGTATATGACGAGTTTCATTTTTATGTTAGAAATGTATGCTATTATTGAACAGCCCAAATAAAATTGCTTAAATACAAAAAAAAACCATGCACAGAAGCCATATGACATATTACAAACCATGCACAGAAGCCATATGTCATATTACAAACCATGCACAGAAGCCATATGACATATTGCAAACCATGTAAAGATTGATGTCTTATGAAATGTTAATGTCAATAATTTGTAATAATTGTTTATTATCGTGTATTACAGACCTCTTCCCGTAGGTGTTATACAGAATATAAGAAATTACATTTCAGTCACGTGGCTAAAAATGGTGCAGTGGAAAAAAAAAATTAGTTGCCATTTCTTCACTTGAAAGCTAGAAACAAAAAATAGTAACAATAAATATGATCGAAGGCTAGAGAACTTACAAATACAATACAAATTCATGAATATCTGGTTGCACATAATATGGATGTATTATACAAACTACATACCAATAGAAAGTGAAGTGCGCCCTCTACAGACGTATTGTCACAACTGCACACTCTTATCCCCAGGGGTGGTACTCCAAGTCAGACTTGGTACCCATGCTGAAGTATAGCTTCTCAAAAAAACCTCTAGACACATACCGTACTTATTTTTGTGAAATTACACCCTTTTCAAGTGCAGAAACTTAAAATAGACACCCTATATACAAACTAAAATCATACTGTTTCCAAGTTGAGGTAACATGAATTCATGAGATTCCTTTTTCACACTTTATTGCTATATTCTAAGTCACATCTAAAATATTCGATCTTAAACACGGTACACGCGTATACGCGTCAAATGACTAAATAACACCCCTTTTATGCGTTTTTTTTTTACTTCAGCTTGCGTACCATATTTTATTCAGAGACCCTCCTCTGGGCTCTTATCTCCCAAATAAGACAGTCATATTTACCACACGCATATACAGTTTATGTGATGATATGCGAAAAGAGGAGAACGTGCATCTACGGGTAGGTTGCATTACGAACCATGCGCAGAAGCCATGTCACGTCATCGACCATTAAGGTCCTTCGCGGGTATTGGAACAGATGCTCATGATTTTTAAACTATGGTTTTATTTTGTGTTGTAAGAAAATTCACATAAAACATATGGACACTGGACTACACGTGAAAATGGCCAAAAATAGCGATGTTTAAGCCATTAGATAAAATCTTGTAGTATCTAAAAACATTCAGTGACATATTGCGAAAGAACAGTGTTGTGATAGAAAATATAACTCAAATTATTGCGAGATTCGGGATAATATTTATTTTCCATGAACAAATCGATTACTATGGCAATTGTTTAAAAAATTACAATTTTTTGCATTTGACACACGATTTGTACAGGATAAAAACACCGTAGCGATGGCATACATCTGAATATATAATTGAGTAACACTTCAATTCTCACCCTATTTTATAGGTCGAAATACCCTTGATAGTCATGTGACATATGAATCGCGCACATACGTCATATGACATCACATGTAGTTCAAGTTTGTTCATAATTTATTAATTATAATAATTATTAACTCTGTACTATGAAACTCCTTTGGATTTATTGGGGTCTTTGAACTATTTAACGGAACATATATGCAATTATTTAATGATGCTGGTTGTCTCAGTTCAACGCATACATCAAATTAATATTCAAAGCGTAAATTAAACTATATTTAAAGACAAAAAAATGAAAAACCTAACAGAATTAAGTGCTTCAACTATTACTACGAGTACTACCACCCCTTTAGAAAAACAAACAAACAAACTTTGTGCCAAAAGATATACTATTATTTCATATGTGTTGTACAATAAACTCCTACTGTCACTAAAATATATATTACAGTAAGATGAGAAATCAAATAATCGTAATTACTATCTTAATAATAACTGGAATTCTGGGTTATGATTATTGACCATGCAACTAAATATTAAACACTATTTCATTGAACGTATGATATCGAATAGGAATATTTTACTTGAAAATAAAATAATTAAATTATTAATGATTAGGTATTTAATTTGACAGGCTAATTATTCTACCACTATATTGAACTAATGTTCGATAATCATTAAAGGGCGGTGGTCGTCGCGTCGCATCCTATTCGATACGGGACTCATAGCGACGTACACGTCGCCTGTAAAATACATTGTTTGTTTTACATGAAATTCGAACACGCTCTGTTCGATGACCACCGCGCTTTAAACGTTTACAATAGGCGTATTTGTACAGACATGCGTAGAAAGCGTTAATGACTGCAGATGAAGAAAGGGGGGGTAATTGTAATGGACACAGCAGCCATACAAAGAGGGAATTTGGATGACTTTGAATATGTTTTACTGGTTTAAATATGTTTGTTTCCTCTTGATATAAATAGTAGTGTACGATTTATAAGGAAATAACAATAATGTTTTGGCTTTGAAGATGAAAGTATTTGTTCGATATGTGCACTAGAGTTGTTCAGTCGAACAAATACTATGTATGCTGAAATTCCTCATGAAAACTCGTATCCCAATGAACATGCTAAAAATAAGTTATTTGCTCCCATTGTCATATCGACCACCACTAAGAAATGTTGACACTTTCCAAACATGTGCTTCCCATAAATAGTAAACTGGGAACCAGGGTAGGTCATTCATTTCCATGACTTTGGCTCTATCTCTGAAAGCACCACAGCGCGTATATATATAACGCGTTTGAACCAAAGGATCCAATAATCGGATAACAATAAAGTCGAATGTAATAGTAATTACAATTATTTGGGTATTTTAACGATGACTCCTTTGGATTATGATTCATCGTAAACTTTCGAAGGTTCCTTTTACAGCCTATGCAGTAGTTTTACTACTACGCATTCGTAGTGATTGTTATTGCACGTACCATAACATTGTGAATGCTACCCTTCCATCGAACAAATACAACATTAGTTCATGATCCAATGTGTTCATCTACATACAGTAAGAAACCACAATGTTAAAAATTAAATGTTCTCAGTCTATATTCAAGACATCTTTAATATTGATGAATGTATGTTCTCATTAATGTCACGTATTCGGTGAGTTGGTCACTGCCTGTGAAGATTCTAACACGTAAAGTACGTACTACTATACTGATTATATGTACTGGTACATTTTAACGCATTGGTTCCCTCTGTCTACTACTGCAATACTACCATCTCCAGTAATGCTTACACCCTGTGGACCACTGAGGACGTCGTCTTCACTGTCAAGCTTCGCTACAAAAGCTCCTTCTGTCGTGTAGATCTGAATTACGTCATCAGCGTCGTCAGCAACAAACAGAAGCCCAGAAGCGGACGCGATTCCGGTAGGATTGGTAAGTTTACCACGACCGTGACCGCTAACCGATATATTACGTAGGAAATTACCAATACCAGTATATACAGTAATTCGCTGGTGACCCGTGTTAGATACGTGAATATTTCCAGCTCGATCAAGTGCAATGAACGAGATATCTTTCAGCTGATCTGGTTTATCGCCTCCACTGCCGATTCTCTGCAAAAGTCCACCGCGTCGGTCGAAGACGAATATGCAGTTAGCTTCGTTGTCAGCCACAAGGATGTTACTCTCCCTGTCCACGGCTACGCCAACGGGCTTTCGCATTTGGTCGTTCTCAACAGTCAAGAGTTTTTCTCCATCTGTACTATAGATATGAACTGAGTTGGTTTCCTGTTCCGACAAGACTAGGTTACCATCATGGTCTAATGTGATGTCATACAGCTGCCCAAACGGTAAATTGAATTCACTGATATCATCAGGGTCGTCCAAACTTAGTGTTACCACTTTCTTATCACGTGAATCTGTTACGTAAAGTGTGCCAGTCCGTCGGTTGACAACTACTCCATTCGGCTCAGACAATTTCCCATCTCCCACCGTTAACATAGGATTGTTGCTAGTCACTTCAAATTTCATTGGACTACCTTTTATGTGTCGTCCACTCATTTTAATATTTAATTGATGAACGCCTTTGATTTGGGGTCGAAAGCTGCATAGATAGGTACCGGTTTTCGTACTCTGTAGTCGATTTGGAACTGCGATAGTATCTGGATCACGAAGTTCAGCTCGGAATGCATGTACGTTTAACTTATCTATCTTTGGGTTTTCACCGAAGCTCACCATGGTAACATTGGAACGCTGGCCACATACCACAGTTCCTTCCAGAGGTTCAATTACTGTTGGTGGAATATAAGTGCTGGATTTTATATCGGCAACATTGGAAAGACTGTCATGAAATATAGCATATTTTGTGCGATCCTCTGCAAACTCTATGGATGGCTCTCGTCGACTTTGTGTGGGGCTCACTTCTAATCTTCGTTCAACGAGTAGTGCAGTCCGTGCTTCTACTTGGCCCAACATTGCAACCACCTCTGTATCATTAGCTTCGTGCATGATGTCGTTTGTCAAATCTCTAGCGAAATCGAGTTTCGTTAAAGTCTCCACAATTTCTCGTTCTTTATTCTCTAAATTCTCCTCTTTCAAACGATACGCGGCATCCAATTTAACCTTCATGCGAGTTCTCTGTTGTTGAAGAGAACGGCTTAAATCGTCGAACAGCCTTTCTAGTCTTCGTTCGGCTACAACTTTGTCATAATCTAAATGATTACGCTCATCAGAAATGTGATTTTGCTGTTTTGACAATGCCTTTGATCTGTTATCCATGATATGCTGGATTTTCAAAATGTTCTCTCGGTGGTGTTTGACAGCCATGTCGAATCGTATTGTATCGTGTCCATGGTGATCTTTTATCGTGCATTTTTGACAGATGGAGATGTTACACCTTCGGCAGAACCTATCGATCGTTAATCTGTGTTTTCTACACATTATGTCGCGCTTTGCTTCGTTTAATTGCCCGCCATCTTTTTCACGAATGCCTGCAAGGGTTTCCTGCATATGCCTGTTATAAGGTGCCAGTCGTTTGTGGGCGTCGCTGCACTTCTCACATAAAAACAACGAACATTGGTGACACCAGCTTTCAGCGCAAGATTCGTCCGAGCAATTCTGACACATAATTTCTTCACTCTCTTGACCTTCTCTCACGGATCGTATTTCCCTTCTGATTTCCAAAACATTATATGGAAATCCATCTACACCATTTGATGGTATTGGCACCTTCTCGCTACATACTGGGCAATTAATAGGACCTCTTCTCCCTCCATACACCTTCACCAAACAGTCTCTACACACGGTGTGTAGACAAGGTAGAAATTTCGGTTTTTTGAAACGACTCTTGCATACTGGGCACGCATGTTCGTCTAATTCGTCGTCCGTGTTGTATTCGCTTTCCGAATTTACGCCGTTATCCATGACGAGAGCGTCAGTTTGAAAACACGTCTTGCTTCAACGATGGTTTGTTTATGACTAGTACCTAGTTGCCAAGTCCCAAATGAGACGTTTGTCGACAAGTACACACCTTTAATCCACGGTACCAATCAGAGATGTGAAATAAAGTACATGTGATGTGTAATAAATCACACATACACATACCTACGTAAGTGCGGTGTGTTTATTTCACGTAGAATACGGGGCTACATTAGACATATTTCAAATTATGTCATTTATTGGGAACTTTTTAATTTATATTAATAGCATAGTGGAGTGGTGGTTAATTTTGTTGTAAAACAAAACTGAATACGTCAAACTATTGATTGGTCGTAACACAAATGTTAACCTCTGATTTACATACTATAGTGGTTTCAAGTAGAAAAATACGGTAAGCGTCACTTGTATTGAGTCATATATTATCGACCTATACGAATGGACTTTTTTTTTTTTTTTATAAATCATGAATGTAGCATACATGCAATCCCAGAATACAACATAGGTCTTATTTGCAATGATAGAAATCGTTGCTACCTGTCACGTGGTACTGTTAATTTAATACAAACTGATCTATATATCCAGATCACGAGCGGCAACATCAAAGCAACACAAGGTAGTGCATACTGGATCACGTGATCATAGGAAGAATTACCAACTCCGGGAACTATGATTCTCAAAATGTCAAAATTATAACGAAAATTGTTGGAGTGGGGGATGAAGGGGTGGATTACTTACTCGACAGCGTTATCAACCATTGTATACCAATACCGGTATTGCTGGGGTAACATTAATGTATAACTTATACAGGAACGGTCATACTAGGTACTCTTACTAAGTGGGCGTGTGTGTATTATAACCTCGCTGCTATGAAAATAAAACATGGTTATCCAACAGTCGAAACACCTTTTAAAATCTTTCAATTCGGACTGACTTATTTTTTTCAGGGGAATTTGTGACTTTTAGACGGAATGTCGCACATATGGCGCGCATACAACGCGGGTATTACGGACAAAATGCTACAAACTACTTTAAAACTTTATTAACATATACCTAATAATAATGTGTGAGTGCCCTAATATTGTGCAAGTTTTGATAACATTTCAGTAATTATATCGTGTGTGTTATTCACTGTTATATATATAGACCAATGGTTTACAATGAGAGGACCGTCACTCTGGGCTTATATTGAAAGAGGTTGGACAGTTTGAGATGGACTGCTGTATATGACCAAAGTTCACGTAACTAAGTACAAGTGTAGTGAGTCAACAAAATCACCCCACCCAAATACAAGTTGATACATGTAGCGGAGTTAACCCCAGGGTCACTTTGGCTCTAATATATCAGGGATTGGTGACAGTCAGTCATATTAAATTCGGCCAGGATACGATGATATGGACACTCCTCTCAGAAAGCAGAAACATTCCAATTTAGCAGTGTGATGTTCTGAATAGGCGAATCACAGGTGGGACCAACATGCATTTCTTTGTATTTCTGATCCCCGCAACGGGGTCACAGCGCGGTATATTATGTCTCCAGGGCCTTTAATGGTCGTCTCGTAACGCCGGAAGATTAGATACAATCATATTAGTTTAGATATCACAAGATTGTTGCCATGGAAACGACAATAACATGTCGCAGAAAATAAGTTTATTTGATAAAACGACTGACCATGGCATAATATATCTGCTTCATGTTCGTTGGCATAGTGATACATACAAACATTAGAAATATTCAGATTACATGTGAATCAATTTTACGGTGATATCACGAAGTAATAGAACATCCAGGTGATAATCACGTGACCAAACCACAGCCCCCCCCTCAATAGACTGTATAGTGATTGTTTCCAATTCGCCTAGAAAGTCTCATTGCCCGAAATTACTGCGAACCTGGGTTGTTAGGAATTGTCACGTTTGGACCGGATATTACCGGCTTCGTGAAAATTCCATAGCCAGGAAAATTTTCTGTCCTACAAAATGTCTCGATTTTCATGACTCGCGAAATTTCTCACGATTTCTTTGTTTGGCCACAGTGTGTAGCAAACTCCCTGGCATTGATTAGTTCAACTGTATTTAAGAGATGACTTATATTTGGCAGCGATTCCATGTGACCCATATTAGGAAGACATAACTTTATGTGACCCTATTGTGCATTGAAAATCATTGTGGAAAGTCTAGTGGATTCTTTGGATTATTATGCGAAATGTTTGATGTTCTGAAAATCGGCGACTATTGGAAACTGGAGGATTTTCCCAAATTCGTCCTTATTTACAGTGGCTGGGTTTATGTGAATCCAGGCAATCAAAGGGAAATCAATTGTCAACTCATTTCACTAGAGTTGGCGTGTATCGAAAAAAAAAGACATGTGCCCATAATTTTTGAATTAAAAAAAGCATTAAACGACATTTTCTTAAACTTGACAAGAATATCTGTGCTTTCATTTTGGATGATCAATTAATCAGCTATGACCTGTACAACCACACGAAGACTGGAGCTGCGCGGAAACAGAACAGCGCCATCAACGGCATTGTCGCTACAACACATTTGAGTATTTAGGCACGGATTTATTAGCTGTGCATTCAGTCACAAACCCATGTGTACTCGCAGTATAACCAAGGTCTCGTACACAAAAAATACTTTGCGTTAATAACACCGGTGTAATATGGAACATGCGCACAATGCACGACCACTGCATAAGGTCCATGCAATATCAAAATACACAACGATTTAGAAAAAGTTGTTTAGTTGCAAAAGCTAAATGGATTTTTAGGTAACTTTCTCTTATTTCAACCTGTCTGGTATGTGTCCGAAGTATACATTAAAGTATGTACAAACATATTTCAACGTAGTTCTATGAAATTATGTCCGTATATAAAAAGAATTATTTATTTACTCATGTTAGGAAAATTAATTTTAATAAGTTTATTACGTACTGGACAATGATAGAAGATAATAGTTAGTGTTACTACTATAATCACATAATCGGCGGAAAGTCCCATTCATTTCACTATAAGAGAATGCCATTAACCTTTTGTATAGTCTCCGTGCATTTGATACTGGAAATAGTTTAAAGACTTTGAAGGATTGACAACACTTCCTAGGTCATCATATAGCTATGTATATCTTGTGTTTTATTACCTAGGTTTATATTTAGTATTGTGAAAGCACTTTCAACCTCTTTGATGCTCATATAAATCCTTAGCCAGGATGTCTGACACAGAGCAACGCGTATCACAACGGGAACTGTCAACCAGTGATAGCAATGGTTTGATGCTGCCGTCTCCTTTCAAATTTGAAGATTTGTCTCTACAATACTACTTAAAACAGTCAATGGCAACATTGTATCCAAACATGTCGTTGCAATTAATTAATGTCATATTGATGTTTATCTTTCCACACAAAAATCAGCTACATTTCTACTCAGTTCTTGTGTTGCTGTATATATGGAAGAAACTTCCACGCCTACTGTTAATTAACACAATAATCTCGCCACTCAATAGCGTCACAATTTCTGTTTTTATTCTGTTATCTTATTCAAACGTATCCATAGCCACACGTATAAATGTATGTTCAGTGTAAACCATGTGCCAGCTAATGCTGGTGGACGAGAGACTGGCAACTGAAAAGACTATTGAGAAGACCGCCCTCTCCGGCAACCTTTCTATATTGTTGTGAGATTATGTATTACCGAATGGGCAAAGGGATTTCTTACAAGAATTAGTCACCTGAATGAGGGGAACATTTAACCTGAAGTCATACATTACATAACGTACTAGTATAATTTTTCAACAATAGGGCATTATCTGCAATTGACGATTAATTGATCATTGATACCCCCTAAATATTAATATTGACTATACCCTATCTGTAAATTATTGCCATAAATATCACTCATGCCCCCTAAACACGAATATTGACAAGACCCTTAAGTGTACGAGTTCAGTAATAGTCAACCGAAGGTAATCCATTAAGTCATACACGTACACGGTCAGTGGGTGAGTCAGTCACTGTGTGCGTTCCGTCGCAGACATATAACACCCAACTATTCATTCTTTTATTTGTGTATTATAGAGATACGCATGTTGTAGTCACTGTTTATTATTATGCGCACGCCACCGCACTCCGATAAACCTGATATATCCTCCAATGACAGCACCTTTGTAATTTCACAGTCTTGTTGTGGTTGACAAAATAGGGCAAAAGTATGTCGCAAGAACTGCCACCATCCGGGTCACCGAAGGCGAAGGGTTCCCGGTCGCCGAAAATAAGCAGATTTATGAACACCTTGCGACGCTCGCCGGCGATACTGAGGAAACGCCTGGGTTCGGGCACAAACTCACGCAAAGACGCTCATCACGACAAAAAAAGGACTGACAAGCCAGAAAAAAACGAAGATCCGAAATTCTATGTGCAATATCTGGGGTGTAAAGAAGTGTCCACATTGCGTTTCCGACAGTGCAAGGACGTGGTTGAACATTTATTTGAGACCTCCAAAACACTGAGTGGAAAAGACGCTGTAAAATGTAATGTGTGTATTAGACGAAAATATATTGACATTGATATCATTGTAAGTAAAGAACACATTCAGGTAGCTATACATAATATAGCATACTGTGCGGCGGATATGAAACACCCGAAAGTATTCGCGTTCATTGCCAAGGACACTACCAACAGTGGACTTCTTCACTGTTATGCATTTTTATGCAACAAGCCCGAAAATGCACAGTCAATGACACTATGTCTTAGCAAATCATTCGAATCTGCCTTTGTAGAATGGCAATTGGCAAAATCTAGACACGATTTAAAAGTCAACAGGAAGCCAGCAGCACAACACAAAGATACCAATAATGAAGCTCCAAGGAGGGTTAAACATCATCAAGGTAATTAATTCACGATATAATATAATAATATAATGAAGTCATTGACCATAGTTTTATATATATGTTGTATATGCTTTTATATGACTGGGATTTAACGCATGTATTATTACACAAGTATGTGACGTGCTGTATATTTGATTGTTGTTTGTATACTACGTGTAATTATTGATTTACCCATAGAATTACACAATGTCAATACGCTAGATGAGAATCCATGACACTACCCTCACGTAGCGCCATTACTTAAAACAAATTGTCTCGTACAGAGCTGCATATATGCGCCGATAAAATACTCTGTACGTCACATTTTTTTTTTCAATATAACCAGTTATGTTCTGCACATGTCTCTCAATAGGTAACATTGTCATATTCGCTTTGCATTTTGGTTAGAAGTGAATAATCTTGTGTCCACGATACCAATTAGCTAAATGCCAATGTTTCATTTATGAGACAATATTCTGAAACCACGATATATTAGGTTTTGTACTGCTTCCTGCATCACTAGGCCCATTACCGATTAGTATATCTCAATATATGTTTTTGTTGGAGGTGACTTTTGCGAGTACCAGCATTATTAATAACAGTGTATGGCTATACGTTTAATATGGGAATTGTACCATGTGTTAACCTATAAGTAGCACATGTAGCACGCGTGGATTCGCGTTATTAAAAAAACATGTGTGTATACGTCAAATACAGGGAACACCGTGACTGCGAAATACTGCCTGCTCTAACGATGGAGCAACCACGTCTGTGGATATATTTACACAATATTGACACACATTGCCAACAAATTTGTTTTAAAATGTATATGCGAACTTGAAATTTACTTTAGATCCACTGTATTGAAATACCGGAGTTATTAATGCGTTTTTCCGTGTTAAATTAATTCCATTTTTTATTAATATTTAACCACTTCATGTGATATTTAACTAACTGTTAATAAATGATAACGCAGCAACATTGTGCTGGTCATGAACTCGTTTGTTTGCTGTTTTCAGACGTTAACAATGTGCTGCTTTTGACTTAATCGTGTTTATATTAACAATATTGTAATAAGCAATTTATTTCTAGAAAATACTCTTTTTAGACATCACACGTCCAAACAATACATTCCCGTGTAAAGCGACAGTCCAAATATTGAATGCCCCGTATGTTGCCTTTGTATGTACAAAATGTTGACGGTGCATATAAGAGATCAACCATTTGAAATCATGGGGGGGGGGATTTGTTGAAAAAATCAAGTACAATCGGAACCACTAAGAGAAGAAAATACGTGTCAGGTATTGGCAGAACAAATATTTGAACATTCAAGAAAAATATAAATGTACAGACAAGATACCGCGAACATGATAATTGCACTGGTCAAACTCTTCCAGCCACCCCATCATTTCAAATGGTTGAAACCTATTGCATTTTTTCTCCCAAAAACATGCTTCGTGTTTGGGACTACGTGACAGAGTTGTTTCTCCCTATCATTGTGTTATGCCAAGTCAATATGCTGGCCCAGTGTCAAACAGTCACTGTCGAAAACAAATTCTTGCAGACCGTTACCACCGTTAATGATGAATCTCGGCCAATGATTTTGCCCATTGATGCACACTCATCTAGAATATTAGTAGACTCGCTACCCAGGATAAGATCTGACTTGGCTGTACGAATCACGAGTGCGATGTAATAACCACTATGCTGCGGTGTTCGCTTTCACGTGAATCATAAACCAAATCAAACAGAGATTTATATCAGTTTCAAATTACGCAATTGTACATAGTCACGTTACATTTACATATGTTTAGGGGCAAACATTTAAATTCCGATCATCACCTAAAATTTCAAAACAAATATTGCTACTAAGATATCAAAATCGGATAAAAAATGTGGCCTGGCCAGAGAATAAACACTATTTATATTTTAGGATATTATCTCTAAAACTTAACTATAAATTGTAACTCGCATCGACATGTAAATAATCATATTGCAGACTTGCAAGGTATATCTTGTGAAAGAACTCCTACGCAAAGGACTGCGTTGTCATTCTCTCCACTGAAATCGCAAGCACGTGCATAGGCTATAATTGTACACCCGGATTTCACACATACAATATAAAGTTTCTGAGGCAAGGAAAATAAATCACCACCACGTATACCGGCACGCGTGTGTGATCGATAAGAATGATCAGTGCGTATATCGGTGTTCACTCAATAGATTTATAAGTAAAATACCGTATTAAGTATACATGGGGATTTGTAGCATGGTAAAATACCCATAGTCCCGTAAGAAGTAATGGTGAGTACAATACACATCGCGATGTATCTAAATAATTAAATGGTTTCCTGCAAAAACCATAGATCGGTTGAAATATTTCCAGCGAAATGATGTCAGAGTTTATAAGAACGATACGTCGGGAGTAGTTAATGGCTGAAACCTACTTACCGTCTACTATATTGCAAAGTAGGACACAAAGAAAAATCTAATTGCATTCATTTGCATGTATGTATTTAATAATTCACGCTGCCCAGTGTTCATACTTCTGTCTGACACACACGACTTCACCCAATTCTCAATGAAAACATACAATTTTGGGGATAAATCATTATTGGAATAGTATGGTTAAAATTTCAATACACCAACCTAATCATTTTTTAAATTATCATTTTTTTTCAAATTTGGATTGGTATATTGAAGGATTATTTGGATAATTCATTGATAAATTCGCCTGAAATTATTGTTTGTGGTTTATTCACGCTGTATCTAGGCAACCACGCTTTACACTTTGTATCAGCCTGTAAAGATAGAAACAATTCAAGAACAATCGGAAATGTGTAATCGGAAATTTGCTTGATAGTTTAGAGAACCAATCATATATTGGGCACGATGTTTCGCTGACTCGATGTTTCCATATTTGATGTATTCCCAACTTAATGCTTTTTGTTTTTATTACATTATGTCAGCCATGTATTTATAACGATTGCTATAAACAATCATAAACAAACATTTTTCGTTTCGTTGTTAACAAAACATATTTACATAATATGGATTAATATGACCCATCGACGAATTGCAGCCTCCTTGTACGCTTGTTGAAATCGTTAGTAACAGCCACATCAGTAACGAGGCCAATTAAGTATGCAATGTACAATACTCATCGCAACATTTAGGGTCATAGGTCAAAGTACGACGTTTTGTAAATAATAGACGTTTACAAAAATGAAATTAGAGATACAGAAACGCAAAATCAAACATTCGTTCAAATTAACTGCTTCCCCAAAATGTAACGACTGTTTACTCAGACTCATTAAGTATCTACAAACTACGCGTCGTCACTTCAGAATATAAAATACGGTTTATATAAATAATCGACAAAATTAAGATTAAAAATACAGAAATAAGAGATCAAAAAATATCACAATTTCGTAGCAGACGCACATTAGTTGAACATTCAACACGTTGGAAGGAGTATTGCACAACACTCTCAGATAATTTATAATACGAAGTAATAGCGTAATAAACATTCATGGAAACCACGTGACAACCACGTGACAAAGGTCGCCACAGGCAAGATACTTGTCGGGGAAAGGTCGATTAGAAGAGTGATTCTGATGTCTCTTAAATGTACGTAAAATATGTTAGTCGTGCGTCAATTCAATCGACCATCTGATAACGACTACTCATGAAATCCACAGTAACCATGGCAACAACCAACATCATAGGTTGTCATCATCATGGAATCGATATCATAGTTACAAGAATTCCAATTTCTGTATACATATAATTGCTCAGTTTACGCAGACATGACAACATAATGGGTTATTTATTCATTGGTTTTGTTCTCCATGTTAAGTCAACATGCATTCATCCGACAATTAAGGGTAAATATGAATCATAGATACAATGCTGTGAGCGATGAAAGGGACATTGGGACAGTTCACCTGCAGGTATGACTAATGCACATAGTTTAGATACATATATGATATCACGTGACTCAATCAAATATACATCTTATCGACCAATAAGCGGTGAACATATGCACGTGATCAAAGGTTTACAAGTTACTATAATTACAAATATAAACAAGATGTGTGTCTAACTTGTCACATTTCCTCTTTTCGAGACTTCACATACACAGTCGGAAGTGTCCCCATAGATCAATATTATTCAGTATTTCTAAAAGTGTCAACAATTTCAGCAGTCATTATTGACGTTATATTACTCAAAAATCAACAATTTCAGCAGTCATTATTGACGTTATATTACTCAAAAATCAACAATTTCAGCAGTCATTATTGACGTTATATTACTCAAAAATCAACAATTTCAGCAGTCATTATTGGCGTTATATTACTCAAAAATCAACAATTTCAGCAGTCATTATTGACGTTATATTACTCAAAAATCAACAATTTCAGCAGTCATTATTGACGTTATATTACTCAAAAATCAACAATTTCAGCAGTCATTATTGACGTTATATTACTCAAAAATCAACAATTTCAGCAGTCATTATTGACGTTATATTACTCAAAAATCAACAATTTCAGCAGTCATTATTGACGTTATATTACTCAAAAATCATCAATTTCAGCAGTCATTATTGACGTTATATTACTCAAAAATCGCTCGGAAAACCTGCGGATTTTTTAAACCGCAGTTCCAGTCAATCAGAAAAAAGACCATCGAAATAGAGTGAGTCATGTGATATATTGTCAAATTTTATATTTTTCATTAAATATTCACTTTTTGGATAACTAAAAAATATAACTAGATTATCCGAGAAAACAACCCACCATTTCATTATCCAAACTTGTTGGTTGTGAATCCATGGTATATATCGTGCATGTACTATTACATTAACTGGTTTCACACAAGTTTCATGCCACTGTTGGCGCTAATGTAATCGTTGCTACCGTGAATGCATCGATCTGAGTAATTCGAATATATTTTTCTGACCTCTGATTTCCTTGACTTGCATAGCAACCAATCTGGAAAAAACACTATGAAAGGCGTTACG